TTTGTTCCTGTTAAGATAATAGCTATAAGTGCCAGTTAATTGAGGAAACTGTTAACAGTTGATGTCTGTCAAGGACAAAGCCTTTTGCATGTTAGCTGGAAAAGGTCATGTTTGTTAAATTGTTAGCTTGCGAATGGGGAGATAACAAATAAAATTGGGTTTTTATCATCTCCTTTTGGACGAAGGAGCCTTTTGCAACAGCTGAAGCAAACTCGGGTGCGGAGTCAATGAGGAAGAGAGACGGATGTGCGGCCGGCAACGTTAAAAGTTTTACTTCTCTTAAAGACCTTGCCTGGGGCGAGAACCTGCTTTTAAAGACAAATTGAGATAGTTTCTAGACCCGGGTTCTTTTTAACGTTTTTCTGTTATGGACTCTTGTAAGGACTGCTGCTTGTTTTAATGTAAAAATAAATTGCCTTTCTTTTGAAAGATTGGGGATATTTGATGTGCTTTTAGGATCTGATAAAGAAAGAGCCCCCGGCACCTCTAGTGAAGTTCTCTTCCTCAAGGTCAGGAGCGTTATGATCACAGGGTGCATCACAATGGCCCACTGGTCTGATCCAGCAGGGCCCTTCCTCAATGCCCCCTCCAAGCCGTGGAGTCTTGTGAGCAAGGAACTTGGCTACTGCATCAATTATTTTGCTCCGGAGCCCTCCCTCCTAGGCTAAGACAAAAAATAACAATCAATCCTTATAATCCATCGTGGGAAAACGCAGAAGCCAAAGAATAAATATACAAGATAAATATCTGAAAAGTCCCAACACTTTTCCTAGGTAATTTTTCCAGTGTTTTAGACTTCTGGAACAAAGAACAACTATTGGGAGTCTCTTCTGGAACAAAGAACAACTATTGGGAGAGCCAGTTTGGTGTAGTGGTTAAGTGTGCGGACTCTAATCTGGGAGAACCGAGTTTGATTCCCCACTCCTCCACTTGCACCTGCTGATGTGACCTTGGGTCAGTCACAAGCTCTGGCACAGCTGTCCTTGAAAAAGAGCAGTTTGTGTCAGAGTTCTCTCAGCCCCACCCACCTCACAGGGTGTCTGTTGTGGGGAGGGGAAGGGAAAGGAGTTTGTAAGCCGCTTTGAGACTCCAAGTGAAGGGCGGGGTATAAATCCAATCTCTTCTTCTTCTTCATTCCATCTCCTTTTAAGATAATACTTTTTTGTATTACTTCAACATTGGCCAAGGTCTCCTTAGCTCGTGTTTTGGTCCTGATGCATCGAAGCAGCCTTTAGGGGTGCAGATTAGAGCTAAGGAGACCTTGCCCAATGTTGAAGTGATACAAAAAGCATTATCTTAAAAGGAGATGAGACTCTCAGCAGTTAGTCTTGTTCCTGAAGAAGGACCAGAAGTCTGAAACACTGGAAAAGTTACCTAGGAAAAGTGTTGGGACTTCTTGGATATTTATTTTGCATATTTATTCGGCGTCTGCGTTTTTCTACGATGGATTATATGGATAGGTTTATTCCAGACAGGAAGATGCATTTCACTTTGATGAAGCCTCCTTCGTGAATAATTTGCGGGATAATTCAGCTCACGGTTGGGTTGTTGTTGTTGTTCTTTGCCGCAGAACGAGGAGTGCCATGGGCTACTGGGGAGGATACAGCAAATCTGCCCCCTCCCCCCCGGACCGCCTTCTCAGCTTCTGCTATGGCCCAGCTGGCCCCACTCCAACCAGTCCTTGCCCCCCCCCGCCCCCAGGGCCCGCCTTCATGCCCAGAGCCGCAGCAGCAGCCCTCCCCGTCAAGATGCCTGCAACTCATGAGAAACAGAAGGTTTGCAAGAGAGACGCGGGAAAGAAAGCATCCCGTGGAACCCCCTGTTCTTGCCCCCACCACAAAACCGGGATAGCACGGAGACCGCTTGGAATAATAGCTTTATTATCTGCAAG